AAAAAAAAAAAAAAAAAAAAAAAAAAAAAGAATGAGTAAATTAACTCAAAGACAAATTAATATACATTCTCCATCTGAAAAACCTTGAGAAAAAGATTGTTAAAAACCCCAAATAGGCTGGGAGTAGTGGCTCACGCCTGTAATCTCAACACTTTGGGAGGCTGGGGTGGGTGAATCACCTGAAGTCAGGAGTTGGAGACCAGCCTGACCAACATGTTGAAACCCTATCACTATTAAAAATTCAAAAATTAGCTGGGCATGGTGGTGGGTGCTTATAATCCCAGCCACTCGGGAGGCTGAGGCAGGAGAATCGCTTGAACCCAGAAGCCAGAGGTTGCAGTGAGCCAAGATCGCGCCACTGCACTCCTGCTTGAGCAACAAGAGCGAGACTCTGTCTCAAAAAAAAAAAACAAAACAAAAAAAACCCAAATGCCCATCGATGATAGACTGGACAGGGAAAATGTGGCACATATACACCATGGAATATTATCCACCCATGAAAAACGATGAGTTTGTGTCCTTTGTAGGCACATGGATGAACCTGGAAACCATCATTCTCAGCAAACTGACAGAGGAGCATAAGATCAAACACCGCATGTTCTCACTCATAGGCGGGTGTTGAACGATGAGAGCACATGGACAAAGGGAGGGGAGCACTACACACTGGGTTCAGTTGGGGGGAAATAGGGGAGGGACGGTGCGGGGTGGGGAGCTGGGGAGAGATAGCAAGGGGAGAGATGCCAGATGTAGGTGATGAGGAGGAAGGCAGCAAATCACACTGCCACCTGTGTACCTATGCAACAATCTTGCATGTTCTTCACATGTACCCCAAAACCTAAAATGCAATAAAATAAATGGGAAAAATAAATAAATAAATAAAAATAAAATGACAAAAGTAAAAAAAAAAAAGTTTCCAATTTTGGACCATTTTAGATTTTGGATTAGGAATGCTCAACCTGTTTAAGAAGAAAAACAGAAAAAAACTGATGCACTGTATACAGGGACACAAGAAAAATAAAAAACAAACAAAATATATATATGTTGTTTTACAATGTATCCTCCCTGTATATATTTTTTCTGTGTATATATATATTTATATATATCGTGTGTGTGTGTGTGTGTGTGTGTATATTTGTATTTTCAGTAGAGATAGGGTTTCACCATGTTGCCCAGGCTGGTCTCAAACTCCTCACCTCAGGTGATCCACCTGCCTTAGCCTCCCAAAGTGCTGGGATTACAGGCGTAAGCCACCACACCTGGCCTAGATATAGAATTTTTGGTTGGCAATTATTTTTCCTTTCAGCACTTTAAATTGTCTACATCCTTCATTGTTTCTGATGAAACGTCCCTATTTATATATATACATGTTCAGGAGGCTGAGGCAGGAGAATCGTTGCACCCGGGAGGCAGAGGTTGCAGTGAGCCAAGATCGCGCCACTGCACACCAGCCTGGTGACAGAGCGAGACTCCATTTCAAAAAAAAAAAAGCTTATATTGGAAAAGAAGGTTAAATTCAATGATCTTAGTTTCTACCTTAAGAAGAAAAATTAAACAAAAAGTAAATGGAAGGAAATAAGGGCCAGGCACAGTGGCTCATACCTATAATCTGAATACTTTGGGAGACCAAGCCAAGCAGATCACTTGAAGCCAGGAGCTGGAGACCAGCCTGGCCAGTAAAACTCCATCCCTACCAAATAGGAAAACTAGCCAAAAAAAGGGTAAACGTTTGTCCTGTGAAAGATTAACACAATTCATAAAGCCCTAGAAAGAGA